AGGGGGTCTGGAATATCAACGGGGGCTAGGGTCTGGATTGCAAGTTCGCGCATAAGGAATACAGCGAGGGCTACAGTATTCCAGACCCACCAAAAAGGTCTGAATTGCCGTGCTGGGGGAAGTACCCCCCTTAACTGACGGGATCATCTGGGATCTGTGCCTCTGAGCTCGGATTGTAAGGCCTGGCGTGAGAAGCTGCCATTGCCAGCTGATGGGTATTGTTCCACAGTGATGGGGCTTGGAGATGCAAAGTGAACTGAAGCGGTTCGTAGTGGCATGCTGGAATTCACGTATTCATGGAAGTCAATAACTTTGCCATTACTTTGTCAAATCCCGACTGTCAACTGTGCGCAAGCCTGTCAGACTCAGCTGCGCTGCTTCCATAGACCTCCGTCACTTCACGAGTCACATGATGAGTCACATGACGACATGAAGGAGCAAAGGAAGTGATGTGGAGGTTCGCTCTTGCGGAGGGAGGCTGAGTAACGAGAAGTGTTCAAACACTGTTCTTAAGACTTTTCTGGAACACACATTTCTCACACCATCTTCACAAATTTCTGGCAAAAGCTGGCAAATCCCAGCCCATTCTCGGCACGCGGCGGAATCTATGAGGGCTTTCACTGCCTGTCATTCAACAAAGTGCTCATCCAACCCAGGACAAGTTTAGGAATTCTGAAAGACTTGCAGAACACATGCTCTCGATGATGCAAGTAAGAGGCACATCTCCGCTGGCCTTCTTGTTAACTTGTCTAAAGCTTCTGAAGCAGCGTGCATATGAAGTCAGAGCTTTCTACGTCGGGCTGCCTCACAGTGCTTGACGTCCAGGGCTATGACCGGCAATCCGTCTGCCTGCCCAGCCAAACTAACAAAAGCTGCGAAGCGGAGCTTCCGACAGTACGTTAGACGCCCGCACAGCTGCCTGAGGTGATGCCGCATGAAGTTTGGAGAGCCGTTCACGCAAAGCTGGGCTGCAAGCGGCGAGCACCTTGGTGCAACCGCACTCCAAACAGCATAGGCTGCATAGTCAGGCTGAGCCAGCGAACCGTTCGATGAGCCGGGAAAGCCTCCCCACCTGCGTCAGGACATGCCGTGCAGCCAGACTGCCATATTCGCCCCTGAGGCAGGATATGCCCCAGCAGGAGGTGCAGCATCAAACAACAAGGGCTCCTTGTATGGCACAAGGCCGCGGGCCACTAAAGGTTCATGGGAACTGGGGTAACTGGAAGGGGGGCAGATTTTTAGCTGCCCCGATTCACGGGGGCACTTCAGCCTAAACTGCAATGCGTACCATGCGCACCCTGCGTGCCCCTCCCATGCCCCTCCCATAGCACAGCGGACACCGGTTCGCGAATGCGTGACGGAATCCTCGTCTGATTCTTTGGCCCGGCTCATCCATGTGGAAAGGGCTGCCCAAAGCTCTGCAAACATGTTTGCCATGGGAGTTAACATCTTCATCCTCAAGGTGCTGCTTACACGCTCGCGCCCTCTGCCAGCAAGCGACGCTTCCAAGTGTGAGGAGAGGCAAGCTAAACTGGTTACCTCGTCGGTGAGCCCTACAAAAGACCCCAAAGTCCAACAGATAACCGCAGCAAGTTGCTGGACAAGTTGTGCCTTGGCATGGCAAACTCATGATTCAGGACTAAGCATGGATTTCTTCCCTAATCCTGGGTCAGCTCCTGTCTTGCTTATCATTCTTGTTGACCGGCCTGCCGCCACAAGGGCGATGTCGCAAAGCTCCTTGCTGGTGAGGAGGTCGCGGAGGCCTCTGGTCACATAAGACTTACTATGGAAGCGAAGTTGCAGTTGAGTCGTCTTTTGGTGTGCAAACTTAACATACAGGTTATGCGGGCCTCACGTGACGTTTGACACGACTGTTAAGAACAAGTCTTTCGTGACAGCATTCTCCAAGACCTCTGCGTGCGCATGACATCATGCCAGATTTGGGTTCCCTGCCATGCAGTAAGCCCTCGCGGCACTCGCTGGTGGGCATGGGCCCCAGGTCCTCGGAAGTCGCTGCAAAATCATGGTTGCAGAAGGCCATGGAACTTGCTGGATTTAGGATGCGGGGCTTGTGGCCAAGTTTTGCTGACCATCTCAAAGACAGTCCCGTTTGCTCTGCTTGATGTTGCACGAGCTTCCCAGAAAACACTCCCCCTCCCCCTCCGGGACAAATTGTTGCCCAGGTGCGCTCTCAACTAGTGGCGCTTTTCTTTTCGAAAATCAATGCCGAACAAGGCCTGTAGACATCAAGAACTGGTTCAAAATGCACGTCATGAGCTTGGGGCCCAATGGGCTGAAGATTCCTTTCAAGTTCACGTGCCAAATGGTTCTACACTAGCATTAGCAAGAATTGCGTGACACAAGAAGCCTCGATTCATCACAGCAGAAAACCCAATGCACCGAACGGCAAAATCCGCGCGCATGGTCTGCCGAGTAGCATTTGATTAAGTCACGCTCTCTCATGTCTGCGAGTGCAAACAACTTCCAGCTCTCAAGGCGGAGCTGTTGGAGGTTTCTAGCTGATATTAAAACGTAAAACTGCCTGACGGACCAAGCTCAAGGGCAACAACTGAAGCGAACTTCGACGCTTGGTGCATGCCCTCAAGCTTGCCGGCCTTCTAGACCAAATGGTCCACAGACGTGGCTGAAGCAAACCCTGTGTCAGAGGGCAGTCAACTTCGGACATGACCCCTTTTCACGATATCCATCGACTTTCATGCGCTCACATCGAAAATTGGAGTCACCAGGCCAACCTGTCGCATGTGCAGCTTGGATTTGCCCGAAACGACTTGAGCGATCAAGGCTTGCTGAGCCCGGCCTCAGACTGCTGTCGAACATCCTGGAAAGTGAAGGTCTTGGTGATCTCGCCTCGTAGTGAGCGCACCCCCCTAGCACAAAGCCTTGCTTACGAGCATCATCAGATTTTATCAGCCTGGAAAAGGCAAGAGTTCAGAGATCAAGCTGTTTTGGAAGGAACATTCACAACTTCCTGGCTCAGGCCAGGGGCCATTACGGAAGACTTCCACCAGCAAGTCTTCCTTCTCATCGCCCTGGCCATCCGTGAGCGTGGTGAGTTTGCCCTCGCCTCGTATTGGTCTTGCGCATGCAAGGCGCCAAGTAGAATGGAAGGAGCCCCGCTTGGCTCTGAGGACACGGCGCTTCACCAGCTTCAGCCGGCCCTGCTTTGACTTCTTTCCTTTGGAGTTGAAGATTTCCAACAACGCACTACATGCGACGGAGTGCGGGACACTTTCAGGTATGGGCTGTCCATCATTCAGAGAAAAAACTTACAGGCTGCGGAATTGCAACAAGCATTCCGGGTCACTGGCCTTGATCAGTCACGGGATCCTTGAAGACAGGCCTCTGGAAGCAAGGTTGGACAGGCTGACGATTGTTGGGGCTTTTGGCTCCGTGTAGCCCGATGAAAACCCCAACGAATGCCGGTTTGGGTGGCTTGAAAGTGGCTAGCTGTTTCTACATGCGTAGACCTCCGAGGAGGTTTCTGGCCTGGGCTTGCCATCCACTATGGCCTCGCCTCAGTCTGAAGAGCATCGCATGACGTGCACAGCATGACATGTACACATCAAACAATGTAGAGCCTCGTGAGGGGCACTACTTACTAGTTCAGTCGTGTGACAACATTTGAAGGCACATTTCTGTGTATCGCGGTCCATCTTTTGCAGCAGAGCTCCGCCTCACAAGGTCTGGATCCCAAGCACTTCCCAAGATATTCTTAGCTATTCTGAACCCTGCAGTCCCCGCACAGTGTTACTGGCTGGAGAAAAATGACACCTTTCCAGGGCTTGATGCCTAATCTCAGGCACGCTTCAACAGACATGTCAGAAGGACTACCTGATCTTGACGTGTCATGCAATGCCTTCCCTTTGATCTTGACTACCCCGGTGGGCCTGAGCCGAAGCAGACATTTTCCGCCGCCCACTTCTTAGCCTGCATTGATACCAACAGACAACATCGATACTTTGGTCATTTTCCCTGTTCCTGCAAATCATCTGTGGTTACACCTTGTGACGAGCAACGCGATTTCTATTTGTACCGCATCCCCCGTCGCAACCACAGACACCCCCCCCCCCCCTGACAACCTTATGCTCATGAGGAAACTCCACTACGAGATCCAGACCGCTTGGCCTGTAGGTTCTGTGGTTGAGGTTGACAACAAGCAAGGGTAATGGAATACCGGAAATAATTTCAAGCTTCGAAGGGTGGTCATACTCTTCTTCATCTCTTCCAGGCAATTCTTCCAAGTATTCGGTGCTTTTACTTCATTGTTAAATCAAACCTAGACGAACCCAGCATTATCTGAATCAGGAAGCACTCCAGTCGTGAAGTTTTTGGGGAGAACTCGTGGCCCCTTCCCTGACTGTGTTCCAAGCCTACAAAATCCTAGCGGTTCATGGCATAAGAAACAAGAAGACAATTTCCATGCTCTTGCCGACAGCGTCGGAGGTTAGGGATATTGGTTGCTATGGGTTTCTTCGTCTGCCCAGACAACCGGCTAGCTGTTGCTAGGCAATACCCTTCTCTGTCAATGTCAACCTTGCAGCCAAGAAGAAACGCGTCTTTGAGTTGCCTTACGCACCCTTTACTCTCGTTTCTTTCTCGTGTCTGCCAGTGCAGATTAGCAGCCTCGAGGTTCCCCAAGATCTCCTTGAGAGATTCGTAGGAAATACCATCACCCTGAATTACGCGGATGTAGGACGGCAACACCTGTCAGGCATCCACGCCGCTTGCAATCATGCACGAGAAAAGTCCCGAAAGTTTGGCAGGCCACTGAAAGCTGTGGGAGCCTCGGGAATTCTTGAAGCATGCAAGACAGCGCCATGCAGATGCAAGACATTGCATGAAGCGCCTTGAACCCAGCAGAGTTGGTCGTGACCGGGAAATGCCTTGGCCATGCACGCATTCAGATGCCATTAGTATGGAACGTATAAATCCCCATATATGAGTACCATGGTATAAGGCACTTCACCCAACAGTCTGGTTGCATACCATGGTCCCCTATAAGGCTCCCTGAAACCCCAAATTCCAACTTGAGGTTCCAGGCCCAAAAGCCCTTGAATGTTTGCTCAACGTGTCATTCTCCCGATTCTGCTTTGACATGCCCATTATGCTGCAACTGCTCAAAAAGAAAACCTTCCCCATCTGATTGCAATTGTGAAAAAGCTTGTTCGGGGGCTCCGTCGGGAGTTGTGAGGACTCGCACCACTAAAAGTCAAAGCTGTGTTGCTTGGCTTGTGTGCAGTGTGCCACCACGCAAGTGCCCCCTATGCGGCTGCACTTTCGGCGACTTTGCAAGCTATGTTGCCACGACACTTCCCAAGTCGCTCCAGCACCTCCACAACAATCGTCTTTGGATCGCCTGCCGCCAGTGGGGCAGACGGGCGCCTTTAATCTTATTGCTCGCCAGATCGAAGGCACATGAGCAGATCGCAGACCCTAAAGGGCTTCTCATGCTGCTGGTGGCTAGCCAAATCCCAAGATGCTTGATAGCCTTATTAAGCCCTGTTGTGACAGTTAAGGCATAATGCCCCTGCTTTTCCGCTCGTGTAGAACGAGAAGAAATGCCCCATGTCTCTTTCGAAGAAAAATGACGAATGCTGCATGTCGCTGGCTGCGCTGCTCTTGTGTTTGCGCACATGCCAGCCTGAGTCAGGACGGACAACCAGCCGACCGGGAGCAGCACGAGACGCAATGAGGTCTTTCCTTGCTGGCACCCAAAGCTGAGGCCAGATCAACAAGCTGAACACTCAGGCTCAACAGCCCAAGCTAGTGCGAGATAACAGCTTGTTGTGTGTGCTACAGGGCACTATCTCATACAGCTGGGTTGCAGCTCCGTGCCCCAGAGCTTTTCACACGCATTGAAGATGTCCTAAGCTTTGGGCTTTTCACCCTGGGACGGCACAGTGAACTGCCGTTGCGGTGTTTGATGAGTACTTGAAGCATGTGCAACCCTAAGCAGGCAATAGGCACAGACACACAAACTTGCATCGTTTGCCTAAATGAATTCGACGGACAAAGGCTTTGCCTGGGCATTTGGGATCACACAGTCTTGCAACCCAATGCAGGAACCAACTGGGCAAAACGGTGGGTGAGATTCAAAATCTTTCCCGCTTGATAGACCAACTTGGCCAACATCTAGGCGCCGAGCGTAGGAGTCAGAGACGACGGCAACAATGCCCTCAGGATACTGCTTCAGCATGTTCTCAAACGCGCTCTTCTCACCTGTAGAATCTGGAAGCTCGCGACTGGTGTGTCCGATTTCTTCAAACCAGCATAGACTTGACCATTTTGCAGTCTGTGCCTGCTTTGGTCCAGCTGGTGATGGTGGAGTGCTCTGCCGCAGGAACGGAGGTTCCCACGCACTGTTCCAGCGGCAAGTTGTAATAGTCAATGGCGGTGCAGAGACCTACTCCGAAAGCTCACTTGAAGTCAAGCGTTTGAACAAGACTGGGTTCCCCTTCAGTGTGCTTTGCAACAGCAAAAGCACCAGCACGGTTCGTGATGCCTGGCATGGTGTCGCTGCCGCAGAAATTCACCAAGTGAGCTGCACCTCCAATGGATGCCGTCTCCATGGAGGAGACGCCTGAGTTGAATGGACAGGACAACTGAGCATTGCTTTCCATTGCCAACCTGGCAGGCTACGCAGAGTCCTTCTTCCCCCTCATGTAGTAGACTGAACAAGTATATGATTGCTGGCCACCCCTGCTTCGCTTACAAGGCCATCCCTGGGCATGCCTAGCTGTTGCAATCCGTGCAAAAAACATCTGATCCTGTTCCAAAACAATCAACCCAACGGCTGCTCCAGTGTGCACTTTCCTGTTCAGCATCTACGGAGTGTCCATCAAAGCTCAAAGCCTCGGCAGCCGAAGTCATTGAGCTGGTAGCCCACAGTGATCATCTTTAGAGGGACCGGAAGTTTGTTGGGCATGTTCTTCAGATCTGTGCCTTGGTGTCGCATCTGATGCAGTCCAGCCGCCTCTCTTTTGAGGGGCATGGCAGCAATGCAGACGTGGAGCCGGTCTTGATAAGCGATTCCATGATAACCTGGTAGGTGTTGCGATCAGTTTCGACTGCATGTGACACTTCAGACAGCAAAAGGCCTGGACATGCTTCAACTTGTGCTTGTTGGATGTGGCAGGTGCAACATGATGAGATCAGGGCCCACCCCTGTTCTGACAACCAGTTCTGCTGGATAGGGCTGGCATTCCTAGAGGGCCCGATCTTGCCTGCTTCTGTGCACGGGACTGCGTCGCCACCGTCATGGGGTACCAAACCTGGACCAGCAAAGTCTCCTTGGTTTACTCTGGTTGTCACGGCACGCAAATCCGTCATGTGATTCAAGGCTTCAAGATTAGCAACCCGCAAATTTGAAGGACATGATACAAGTACGACTCCCCAGGGAGTTTAGACTATAGCTCATATAGGTACTTGCCTACCTGATGAACAAGACAAGCTCCACGGCGCATGACTGTCGCATGTCTTGCAGCTACCCCCACATTCATGTGTACCGCCGAAGTTGTACGTGCTTTGGTTACGGGAGCACGCACTGAATTTAAAGCTGTGCTGGTCCGTTTTCAAATGCCCCTTGCTGACTGCATCCATGTGGCCAGGTAATTGGTCAGCCAAAAGCCTCGGCTGGAATAGGAAAGCATCCTTCACGAAGTCAACCTCTGCTTCCAAGTTGCATTTGGGGTCTGTGTTGGCAACCTCAGTTGAGCTGTCCAAAAAGATCACTGAATAATCTGAATAGTAGGCTTCACCCAGGCCAAGCACCGTCATCAGCACGTTCTTCACTGGGACCACCATACCTTCCGGCGCTGCCTCAAGAAAGCGCTAGGCTAGCCTTGCCCTCCAGAGGTCTTCCTCTAGAAAACGACAGTTCTGGCCTTGATGACCACTGGAAGCCTGCCGTCGTGCTTCTCCAAGATGTACTCCCAGCCCTCACCTGAAAGAAAGGTATGCTCAGCCCCACATTCTTGAGAACATGCATTGTTGCAAAGCTTCTTCACTCAGGCAGGGAGCGATTGAAGTGCTTCATCTCACCAAGGCCCATGTGGCCATTTACGATCCGCTCTGCAGCATTAATTCGTTCCCGTGTGACAACCTGCAGGAATCTGTAACATTCTTGATCTTCCGAGTAGCTAGGCTAGACAATCAAATTAAAGACTTGCTTAGCCAGCCTTAAGATGAACCTGTCAAGCAAGAATGTCAAAAGAATTTGTCGAGAACATCCTAGATGCACAACTCAAGGCTGGCACACCGGTAACCTTAACGCGAGCATCTCCTACCCCCGTGCCGCTAGAAGCTTGGCCGCAAAACGAATTGTCCGAAGCCCTGCAATTCTGTGACACCAGCGTTGGGGGCCCAAGCCTCTTGCAAGCACGTCTTCGATTGATTTGCGACAATGAGACATCGAGGAGATGTGGACACTATCGAGGTTCTGATGAACAACCCCTTCAAGGACCACCGCGAAAAATTGCGAAGCACCATCAGATGTCATAGACATGTATGACGCTTCATCTTCTGCAAGCAGTAAAGTGGGAGCGTCGCCTTGCCCTGCAAGTACCGCTTCATGAAGTACTGCAGCCCGAAGAACACGACCTCGTCGAACTTGCCACCGCGCGACTCAAAATACCTTGCAGGTGCTGTGGCTGCTGATTCCTCATTGAGCCTCATTACACTCCACTCTCCCCATCCATTCAAGGAATTTCAACATCATCAATCTGAAGATTTTGCCGACCTTGCGCCCTGCTCCATCCGAAGAGTAAATGCACTCTGAGCGAAATGCATATTAGACCAGCACACCGCGTTGAAGTTCTAGTCACGAGCACAACATAGAACAATGTTTGTTTCGGCATGGGCCGCGTCCGCTGCTACGTTGTTTGTGGCATCCTGGATGTTGCATTGACTGGAGGGTACGGCTGCAGAACTGAGGCTACAGAAGTACCTAGCCACGAGGTACCAGCCGTTGTGCGTGTTCAGAAGCAAGTGCATCTGCAAAGTGCAGGAAGAGGAGCATCCCCTCGTCGGTATTGCGACCACGTGGCGAGTAGACCTCTGTAGTGTTTGGAGGATACTGGCGCCAGTGCGAGGTCTTGTAGGAGTCGCTCAGCAACCTCGCATCTGCACAGAGAAAGGAAGCGTAGACGGAGGGCTAGTAGAGGCTCAAGAATCAGAAGCATGCAGGGGCTCAGCAGCTGGCTGCAGTACATCTGATGTAGACCGTTTTGGGATACTCTGTTTCTGCTGCATTTGCGGCAGCTGCAGGAGGTGTTCGGGATTAGCAGCTTGACCGTTAGCATCAATTTATGATAGCACCGAGTTGCTGTGGGCATCACAGCCCGCTGCGGACTGTCTTCAAAAGTCTTCAATGTCTGAGAGCACCATGAACACCAGGAGCACTTGGACTAACAGTATCGCCCACAAATTGAAATATTGCATTCCCCAACGCACTGGCAGCTTCAAATTTGCACGAGTTGCATGATGTTGTCCAGATACGGGCTGCGGTACGGAGCCACCTAGGCTACTGGACTACAAAACCTTGCCTGCCCTGGGCCCGCCATTGGAAAGATAAATGTAGTGCGTCTATTCGCCAGAGACGAAAAACTGCTCGGGGAATGGAAAGCTACTTTCGCCAATTGATCGAAGCATCTCCCGTGTCTGACTCGATAGCGCCATCAATCTCCGGCTTGGCGCAAGTTGTTCCCATGGCAACCAGAAGAAGTGGCCTTGGATCTCGGTAGCAGCTCTCACCGCTTACATCTTCCTGCTGGAGTATCACTGTGATATTCATGAGAAACTTTGAAGAAGCACCATCCTCTGAATCTCCGGATTCTATAAAGATGCCTGACGCGTACAAACTGCTTGCCGGCCGGTGGCTAGGGTAGGAGGGCTCCTACAGCAACTGCTGCAGGTGTGCTTGAGCCAAAAGGATGCCACAAGCGAGAAGGATGGAAACTAAGTGGTGTACCATCTCAGCTTCCACCCTATCGGATCAGAGCTAACCCGAAGCTGCCTCTGCTGATCTCTTCCTAAACCTGCCGAAATCATGGCGTGCTTCATCCTGGGTCTAAATCCAAACATTCGGCACTCAGCTTGCACAAAACATAGGCAAGTCAGTGCACAGTACGCTCTGAAGCTTTTACACGCAAGTAAAAAAAGGGCGGTTCTGAAGCCTGAAATGTGAGTCTCGGACAACTTCCAAGTCCATCGGGGCAGCCGCCATCCCAGAAGCCTGCGCACTTTCTGTCTCACTATCTCGTCTCTTTGGCCATGTAGGGGCCATGTGCCGGGGTGTAGGGATGGAACTCCACGCGCCTCCTGAGCGCTAAACCGCGCGCAATCTGCTTGCTCCACAAAGCTTGGAGCCAAAGCAAGTCCGGCGAGTGCTTCTAGCACAATGCCCAGAACCTGCTCCAAAGAGAGCAGGCATCGAAGTATGCCTGATGGCGGCTGCGAGTGGTGCACTCTGAATCCATGTCAAGGCATTCTGTATGCGATGGCGTGTGTTTGTTGCGTCTGCCGTCTGCTGAGCCTGGCTGCGCCGCCTGCTAAGCAAACGTGAAAATCCCCATCCCGGTCGCGGATAGGGTAGAAAGCCTCTTTGGTTTGGCTGCTACACACGCTCTGCCAAACAGGAGAGGCGAAGGGAGGCGTCCACTGCCTGCAAGCCTTTGTGCATCACAGGGCTCGCCTCCACTGTGCATCTGAACCTGAGGCACACCTCTGCTCGCACGTCAGTGGCCAGTCTATGGATGCCAGGACATGTTCTTACCATAGAGGCTGTGAAGCATCGTGGCTTGGCGAGGTGGTGCGGGCATTTAGCTAAATGATAGACGCTCATTGCCGTGTTGAAGGCTCCAAAAAAACGACCCTTTCAGGCAGGGAGTCAAACAGTCAACGACTGTGGACCCTGTGCTGCCTGATGAAAAGTATCAGCCCAATTGTGACATGCTGGAGCTCCAGGACTTACAACAGCTCAACATGGCAAAAGTCAGCGGCCAAGAGAATGTGTATTCATGATGACTGGAAGGGCTTCGGCAGCACACTATGGCAAGAAACCTAAAAGGGTTCCATGTTGTATGCTGACATGCCAGCCTTTGCTGGTCAACTGCGTGAAACACATGAGCATGGCTTGCCCATGCACTTGTGAGACGTATGCTTGTCCCTGCACACCGGAAGTTCATGCATAGGAAATCTAGCTGTGCGGGATGCTCATGTATGAAAGCGAAATTTCCTACTGTTACTTCTTTGAGAATCTCTCCAAGTGTTTAGCTGTGTTCTGCAGATCTCTGCAGAGGCAATATCCAGCAGACTGCAGGCAGACAAACTTTGGCTGCCTGGGACTGCTGCCATGCTTTGCATCTCAAGCACCATTCAGACAGACGATGCGGCCCTGCGTAAACAGCCACTATTATCACATTGAGGCGCGCATAACGAGTACTGCCACGACTGTGACTTGCAGAATGCGCCCCTTTTGCTCTTGCAGTCCAACTTGCAGTCCACAATTAGGTCCTGCGGGATGCAAGCTGTGCAATATGCTGCAACATGGTCTATCTCACACAACACTTCCTTGTAGTCTACCTCAGCATGTCAACTGTAAACTTCGCGAACACCAAATCTCCATCTCTCGAATATTCTCAGATCTTAGATGTTGAGTGAAATCTCAACACGCAACCTGTACAAGCTTGTCAAGCTACGTTGGTGAAACTTCGGATCGCTTCGCCACTTCTATCACAACTTTATCTATCGGCAGCCCATAGTGACAACAGACAAAGGACCAAGACATCCTGACATTACAGGTTTCGGGGGCACTTTCAATCTGGCGCTCGCTTTGCGACGTCCAGCGACGTTGTGGTCGCGAAATTGTCTCGTGAAAGAGGGACCGTCATTAGCTTCAAAGGGTAGGGAACACGACCTGCATTAGGGCAAGCAAGCATTTTAGCAGGCATGTGGGAAGGCTCATGGCCTATGCAGCCTATGCATCTTTACTCATGACTTCTTCAATCAAAACCCTTCGCCTCTCGCTAGGAGAGGAAGTCCAGATCAAGGACACCGTCACTGTCAGCAGCCAGGGAGCCGTCTGACTCCTAGATGGGTTATGTTACAGGCCAGCTTTTCAAGGAAGAGTTACTTGTAGAAACGTGCTATTCCTTGGTGGCTGCTGGCTATCTCCAAACCCACAAGCTAGCAAAGGCTTGACCGACGGCTCCTGATCCAACTGCATATGGCTGCCTGCAACTTTGGCTGACAAACATGTCAATTGAGCATCCTCACGAACTGTAGACCAACCCGCCTGAGTAAGGCCGCCCAGGGCTCCAAGGTCGCGATGCCGATGTTGGTGGTCCAAACGACGGCAGAGGCTGCAGTCAGGGCGGAATAATATACCGCAGCAACAGAACCTGGATCTGGAAAACACCCACAACTTATTTGCTGACCACGCACTGCCTCGTCTGCCGGTGGGTGTGCAGAAGGCAAAGCACCAAACACGGGCAGATCGTCCTCCTAGGAAAAGCTACTTGGATTTCAGGCATTGAAGTCTGAACTGGATCAAGCCAAGCCAAGCCCATCACCAAGCTGCCCGCGCTGCTTTCAGAGCCCTGCGGCGTTTGACCACAGGTGTGAGAAGCTCAACAACCTCCTCTTGCAAAGTAGACATATCATCTGCTTGTTGGCAGGATTGCAATCTTCAACTTCACTCCAAGCAGACCGAAACCGAATGGCTAGTGCTTTCTGAAAGTTCACGTGGTGACTGGATTCAAGCTTTGCAGCTGGAACATGTGCAATGACGTGGAAGGCATTTGACTGCAACATGAGATCATCAAGCCCTGGCCACAGCCTCGTGGTACACTGGGCTGGCACCTGCTGCCTGGCTGCCTTGGGTCGTTAGAGGGGTCAAGTGAACTCAGGATGGGTGATGAGAGCGCGGCCTGCAGAACGAGAATTCAGTGATAGCTGGCTGTGCTTCTCCTGGCAAGTTCTTTGCTCGCGGCATCTCGCGGCCACGATCCCTGCATAGCACAGCATGGCCCTTCTGGATCAGTCCTCGTTGCTCATGAAGCTGATCTGCTTCAGCATGCCACTGTCATCTAAGCCCGCATTGAGGTCCACATGACCCCAATGCATTCCTCCAAGCATTGAGCCCGTGTCTCATCTGGAAGCCAATGAGCATGTCTCTGCATGTCAGCATGGACGCACGGTACGACCCCGTAGAGGCTGTCCTGCCACGCCCACAACAGGCTTGGTCTGCACCCCGAGACCCTCCTTAAACAGCAGCTGAACCATTGGCAATTGCACGGCTGCTGCGCCGTCAACTCGTGAGCAAACTGTCAGCCAAGTTGCTCTCAGCGACTGCCGGCTTGCAGAGTCCGCGCTGGACCCTGCATCACCAGGACGCATTCAGAAATTTGCCGCTGCCGCTCACAGAAATCAACCTGCCTGTTGCATGCGATACCATGTCGAGCTGCGTTTTGTCATGGCTATCCTTTGCGGCTCGGCACAAACGCATTACTTTCGCGTGAAGTCTCTTGGCAGGATATGCCTGTAGGCGGAGAAGAGTGGACTTGCGCAGTCTGAAAATTCTGCCGGGCTTCTGCGCCAGAAAGGCTTTCGCGTCTCTCTGACGCTTGGCCTCACACAGCATCATAGTTTTGGCCAGAAAGTCCACATTCATGCTTGCTGTCCGCAACTGCGGTCCAAAAGCCTGGCCTGAACTGCTCGCCGAACTCTCTGTATGGGCAGCTTGAGAGGGCACCTCATCTACACTTGGAATCTGCACATCCAATTTTTAGTGACTGTAGTGTTTGCCGGATTAACAAGCATACCCCAGCAAGGAAACACAGCACCATCCACCGCTGAGTCACTCTGTAAAAGACAGCTGCCTCACAAGTCGACGCCTAGATTTTTTCAGAAACATGCAAAGGAGTAGCTGGATGTCAGCCAAGTCTCTCTCTGCGATGGCTGGCTTGCTGCATCCGCACCGGAAGCTGGATCACCTGATCACCCTTCCAGTTGAACATCCGCAGAAAGCCTCCCCACAAGTGCCTGCGCAGACCAGATTCCGGCCTCCTCCTGCTTCATGTGCAACCACCTGCAGAGCTAACTCAGCACAAACCATGCGCAGGTAGAACAACCAAAGCGAGAATCCAGAATCCGTCACGGTACGCCTGGTAGCTACGTGCCAGATCCTCGAGGAGTCATGTTGGTGCAGCAGCTTGGCCTCCTTGTCCTCGTCTTGCGTCAGGAGCGCCAACTCCTGTGAGTCTGCTCTTCGCGCGCAAGAACACTATAAGCTACGCTTGAAGGCAAAGTTCTGGAGCCTGCTGATACTGGACGCACCGGCCTTGAACACTCAAGACACAGACACATCATGAAGGTCAAAGCAGTACTGCCGCGTGTGCGATGTAGAGTTACATGTTGCTCTGCAGGGTTTTTTCACGGGGGTCACTCGAGGCAGTGCCACCTTGTGTGGCTGACTCCGCAGCTGACTAGTTTAGGTGACACAGCGGCATGTGCAGAGAACTTACGCATCACTCTGCTAATGGAGCGGTCCTGCGAGGCCTGATGGACTGAGCTGAGCAAAGCCTTGAAAGCGTCCTCCATCGGTAGGTCCTCCACGTCCTGGGCCAGGTCATAAGACTCTGGTGGCTCTGCTTGGCAAGTCTGATCCTAGTGGATGCTGAGACCATGGCAGGCACAGCGGAAGCTTGCTGCACAGCGGAGGCCGCCTCAAGCAAAGAGTGTCCAAAGAAAGGCACAGCCTGAAGCAATCCATCTCAGCATCAACCACGTAGTGAATATGAGCTGCACAGTTGGGTATCACATTCGAATGAGCACAAACCCTATCAGCATGTGGACGGTCATTGGATATCCACGACTTCGTGCAGGCCGTCGCAGCAACCGCCTCTGCTGGCTGCTCCGCAAGGGACTTGGGAAGCAGCACCTGCACTTCCAGAAGCTGAGCGGCTACGTTTTGCACGAAGGCAGCCCATTCCCTTCGGATGCCTCTGAAGCCTCTGCAGGAGTGGGCGGCACCCCTGCTGGTGGCTTTGGAAGCGGCGCCAGGGCCTCCGAGTCTTGATTGCATACCCACTAGATTTAGCTGCTCAATGCTGCTCATTTAGCTGAATGTAAAACTAGATATACTTGGG